CTGCATCACAGCTTTAACAAGTCTCTCATTCACTCCTTTCTTCCTCAACGCCCATTCAATGACCTTCCTCGGTACTCGATCAAAAGCCTTTTCTAGATCCACAAAACACATGTACAATCTTCGTTTCTTCTTTCTATTATTCTCCTGCAACATTCTCACCATGAACAACGCATCCACCGTTCCCCTACCAGGCATAAACCCACACTGCATTTCATTAACTGTCACCATACTTCTCAACCTCCTCTCAAGCACCCTCTCCACTACCTTCATTCCGTGCTCTAGTAATTTCACACCCCTGTATGACTCACAATCTCTCACATCTCCTTTGCCCTTATACAACGGCACCAACACACTGTGTCGCCAATCCTCAGGTATACCTTCATCATCAAACATACTGTTAGCAATTCTCATCATAACTTCAATTCCTATCACCCCACTCGCTTTAATATGTTCTTCCGCCACTTCCGAAACCCCTGTCGCCTTACCTAGTTTCATTTCTCTAACTGCTTTCTCTACTTCCTCCATCGTCACCTTCTCTATAGGTCCGTGTGTGACCGCGGATTCCACATCTCCATCCCACTCATTATCTTCATTCATCAACCTTTCCATATGAGCTTTCCACACCTGAGCTTTTTCCTCCTCATCTATGCACAACTTGCCAGATCCATCCCAAACACATCCATTCCCTATAACATCTTTCCTATCCCTCATTGACTGCTTTGCTACTTTGAACATTTTCCTCGAACTCACATCAAATTCCATTTCCTTCATTAACCTATCTGATGCTTTCGTCATTGCAGTTGCCACTGCCTGTTTTGCAACCTTCTTAGCCTTCCTATACTCAGACTCCGCTTCCTCCGTCATGTCCCTTCTCCATACCCTAAACCTCTCCTTCTTGACTAACTAAATATTTTTAATTAAACTATAACTATTTTTCAACTAAAAATAAGTAGTTAAACTAATAGTTATAAACTTTTTTCAAAGAGTAGTGAACTAAACTAAAAAAAAAGTAGTTAAACTTTTTCCAACTATTTTGCAACTATTTTTATATTTACTTTTTTACAGACATAATCTAAAGTGGCATTAATACTAACATAACAAACTATTCAAAACATGTCTTTTCAAAGTGAAGTATTAAGCAGCATTTCAAAAATGCGCTAAAAATAAAATCCTTAACTAACATAACTTGTCATCATAAAATTTAGGCCAAATAAATTATTTAATGTTTAAAACCAACTTAATTGAATATAGACAATTACATAAATGTATTTATTAAAATATTTTTAACAAAACAGCAACAAATTTTAAAGATTAAACAACTAACCAACCATCAGCGTCAACCTTCAACACAGAGAGGAAACAAGACATCAAACAGTCCGAAACTGTGACTGACCTGTTCTAAAGGACAGACACAGAAATTGCTAGGTAAAGCAAAATAATAATAAAAAAACCTTTTTGGTCACTGATATTTTGATCACTGATATTGTGCCCCCCCAGCCCTGCGCCCGGGGACAACTGTCCCCCCCTGCCCCCCCCCTCGTTACGCCACTGATCATCAACATTAAACAACAATCGCCTTTCAGTCATAATGCATAATTAAAGATTCAAATGATAATTGTCGAATTGATCCATTAGTGACCTTATACGTTCAAACATCCGACAGGACACCAACATATTGCGAGGTCATTGCGAGGTTCATGTATCAAAATTTGGCAAACGCCAACGCAGAGAGAATTCTGTTCCTATGCTTCATTTGCCACCAGATTATTATTATTATTATTATAAGCATCCCTGCCGTATAGCGCTGATACACTTGAATCATTTGGCGTTAGGAGGTAGAGTGAGGTCAAGATTTAACAATTTTAACGATTAATTACACATCACTTAATGTGTAAAACGTTCGGAAAAAATTTATGGGACGAGATAGATGACAGTTTAAATTTATTGAAATGAAAAATGAAAAGACAAATGAAACAAATCAGATTGATATCTTAGTGACCTCGTTCAAATATTCGACACAAACATGACACCAACGTAATGATATTTAAACCGTCCTTTTTTCTGTCGATTAAATTTAAAAATTTGGCAATCATGTGTGTGAGAATTCTGTTCTTCTGCATCTATCACCACAAAATTATTATTATCGGCATTCCTGTCTTGCACTGATGAGGAATTTGAATCATTTGACGTTTTCTTCTCCTTCGTGTACTTTGCCAGATTAATCTTTTGTAAATTTCGATACCTATTTCTTCCAAAGATGTAGAGGCAGTTGTTGATGGTGATGGATGGTGTATGAAAAGCAGGCCTCCATAGGTTAAACACTGATGTCCACTGATCAGTCTCTACATCATACATCTCTCCATCCTTTGTTGATTGAATTTTTTTCAAAATTAAAGTTAAGGTTCAAATTCCTTAGTATAAAATTACAAATCTTAAATTCTTTTATATATGAAATTGAAGACATCTTTCAATAACGTACGTACTACTTACTAATGAATGGCAAAATATATGAACTGAGTGACAACGACAAAATTTAGCATTTTTACCCTTGAATCGCCTCCATTAGGCCAAATAAATTCCACTTCATCCGGATAGTCATCATCTGCTTCAACAAAGCCTCCAACGGCGAAAATCTTATTCCCCGTGCATGTCATGACGTGGTCAGTCCGAGCCGTCAACATGGGAGCTTTCGCAAACCATTTGTTACATAAAGGGTCATACTGGTACACCAGACACCTTGTCCATGGGTCACGCCCGCCACTGACAAACATCGTGCCATTCCACACACAACCTGTTGATTGGTGGAGTTGTAAGATCGGTTATGGTATATAAATATATATATATATCTATATATATATCTATTTATGTATATATATATATATATATATATATATATATATATATATATATATATCGATATGTTGAACTGTCATCAGTTACGTCGTACGAGAACATAAAGTACACCATCTCCCATCAACAACCATAGGTGCAATTTGTGAACACACAAATCTTTTCAGGCTAGACGCGTTTCGTCCCTTATGGGACTCAATGGTAGCCCGAGTTAAAGGAACAGCTTGTGCGATTCTTATTTAAATGCGTAAGATCGCATACTAAGGTTTACAAAATCACATTTTAGTCGCTAGGGCCGTACTTTTCACTCTGCTGAATTGAATAAAATTGAAAAAATGAGTAAGAATATAGGTGAGAACAGTTGTCGATCTGTATCTGATGACAGATCAACTATTCTCTCCTATATTCTACTTCATTTTTTCAATATATATATATATATATATATATATATATATATATTAGGGATGCATCGAAGTTCGGCCCCGGCCGGATTTGGTGGCCGGATTTAAGCGTCTATCGGCATTTAAAAATGTTATAAATAGAAAAAAAAATTTCATTGAATTCAATTAATTTTATGTCAATAAGTTAAAAGCTAAGCATACATGACACATAATAACATCACAAATTGTGAAATGAGCTGGACAATTTTCTTTGTGCTATAACATGGGTTATGCATAAATTATAAGCTGATCTTTGTGTAAAAGAACTTGTGCACGTGTTTGTACTATATAGTTGTATATGACGGATCATAAAGCTAAATAATATATATATATATATATACATAATTGCATTATTTAAGAACATGGTATGTTAAAGGTTAGGCTAGGCATACATGACACATAATAACAACATCACTAATTGTGAGGTGAGCTGAACAATTTTATTTGTGCTATAACATGGATTATGCATACATTATAAGCTGATCTTTGTGTAAAATAACTTGTGCACGTGCATACATGACACATAATATTAACATCACTAATTGTGAATGAGCTGGAAAATTTTCTTTATGCTATAACATGGGTTATGCATAAATTAAGCTGATCTTTGTGTACAGAATTTGGCGTATCACACAGCTTATTCATATATTTGAATTAATTAACTATTTGCTTGGTGTTATTTTTTGATGTTCAACATGTAGATAACCGTAAATGTGAGTATTTTTTCTAACGTATGTAAAATGGTAACTAAAATCCGACTCCGGCCCCGGCCGGTTTTTGAATCCGAATCCGGTGCATCCCTAATATATATCTGTATGTATATATATATATATATATATATATATATAGGGTTTAGATTATCATATATACAATTATTATATATTCTCTTGCACTGGCTACCTATAAAATATAGAATAATTTTTAAAATTTGCACGTTCATGTATAAGTCTCAATCTAAATTATTTCCTAAGTATTTATCAGATATATTAATTGAACCTAAACGCCCCGGTTTACGATCGTCTTCTCGCTTTTTCTTAACTCGTGTTAAACACTCTTTTGCCAAATCTGCTTTTGCTTTTTCTGGTCCTTTTCTCTGGAACTCTCTACCTACTTCTCTTACTACTTCTCCATCACTTACGAAGTTCAGAGCGGATCTCAAGACCCATCTGTTTTCAAAATTCATTGAGGAGAGCTGTTGAACATCGCGGAAATAGCGCTTTATAAGCTAATTGATTGATTGATTGATTGATTGATTGATTGATATTAATTAAGATTACTGCGTATACGGCACTGTTCAACTTGTAGTTGATTAAACCCAAAATTTCTATCAAGGACATGGACTTAATGTGTCGTCACTGATGGAAGAGACGATGAACATAGAGAAAAAAAGACAACTACAAGTTGAATTATGCCGAAAACGCAGTGATCTTTATAATTAACGTTAACGTTATTAATAATTTTTAGTCAAAAATGTCAAATATTAAAAGTTTTTTTGAAAATTAATACAAATTTGAGCAAATGTTTTATAGTTAAAATTGAATTATTAATAGAAACCACAAAATAAAGATATTAAAGACCTGCCAAATTCGCAACTGCATGAGGTAGAGGTTCCGCCATGTACCATCGGTTTTCACTTGGTACGTATTGTTCAACAGCTGGAGTTAAGCCGACCGCGATGTCGTAATTTGCGAGGCAACCAGCAACTGCAAAGAGATTGCCAGCTAGCCCTCCAAAATAGAAATCAACCTTCGTTTGATGCATGCTGCAACACTGAATATTTATTAAATAATGAAATATTTACTATTAAATTAAATTTGGTCGGATGGGATGATTCTTTTTATGCGAATATTAAATATTAAATTAAAGTATATATATATATATATATATATATATATATGTTGGTAATAGACCATAATTTTTACAATATTCTATAAATTCTACCGAATGTTTGGCGTTAATATGTTTGTAGTTCGTTTTTTCGATTTTTCTCACTAAAGTTTTTTGGTGAACGTTTAGTTTATTAAAATTCAAAATCTCAAGAAGAAAAGGAGACCAAAGTAAATGACCAGCCAATAAAGAAACCTGACACCTAATTTCCATCTAAGTTCATTTTGACAAAGTCATTATTTCGCTTTATAAACATCAACCGCACTGATGATGATTCATTCGGAGTCGAAATATGGCCTTATTTGCAGCATGAATTCGGAAAAT